TTGCGGGGTTTGACGGGCAGGCCCTGATGTCTCACGTCGCTTTCGGACCCTGTAAAAAAACATTTTGGAGCAGCCTCGGGCAAGCCCCTTCTGGCAAGTTTCGAGGGGTTTGAGGGATTTGAGGGGTTTGAGGGGTTTGAAGGGCAGGCCCCGATGTATAACGTCGCTTTTGGATCCCGTATAAAAAAAACACATTTTGATGAGGGATTTGAGGGGTTTGCGGGGTTTGACGGGCAGGCCCTGATGTCTCACGTCGCTTTCGGACCCTGTAAAAAAACATTTTGGAGCAGCCTCGGGCAAGCCCCTTCTGGCAAGTTTCGAGGGGTTTGAGGGATTTGAGGGGTTTGAGGGGTTTGAAGGGCAGGCCCCGATGTCTAACGTCGCTCTTGGATCCCGTAAAAAAACACATTTTGAAGCAGCCTCGAGCAAGCCCCTTCTGGCAAGTTTCGAGACTTTTGGGGGACTTGAGGGGTTTGAAGGGCAGGCCCCGATGTCTAACGTCGCTTTTGGATCCCGTAAAAAAACAAAAACACATTTTGAAGCAGCCTCGAGGTTTGAGGGGCTTGAAGGGCCCAGATGTCTAACGTTGCTTTCGGATCCCGTAAAAAAACATTTTGGAGCAGCCTCGAGCAAGCCGATTCTGGCAAGTTTCGAGACTCGTCCCCTCCCTCCAAAGCTCCCAGACATCGGCCAGTATCTGGGGCGCCATCTCCGGGGCCGCTCCGTGCGCCCCCACACAGCAGACCATGCTCGAACCCTCCACACCCTGAGCACTCGTACCTTCTCTCACGCGCTCCCCTTGCAGTCGCAAGGGGTCGGCGGATATATATATATATATACACATGATATGTGTCTGTTTAAGTTTGAAGAGCGCTGCATGGGTGCTTCATCCCGTGGAAGCTTAAATCCAGATGACCCTAGTGTCACAAGCTTCGTCCAAGCCTTGTGAGTGAAAAGGATTTGGAACAAAATTTCGGCCTCCACTCAAAAGCTTGTAAGATCTTGTGAGAGTACTTGGTCAAAGTCTACTGAGACACCAACCTATTGATATTTGATTTCATAGGCTCAGGTTTTCATCCGAGGGTAGCCTTTTGCGTTCGGTGCTCAGTGTTGGTCCTGGTGCGCCGTGCACTGACAAGCTGCTTGTTGAACCCGCGCCCAGCTTGGGGTTGTTGAGGACCAATAATAGCTACACGTTGGGATGTTCTGTGCAGGTGACTTGATTCGACCCAGTAGTCAGTTGAAGTCGATT